GTAGTGACATAATAACACCAACCTTCTTTGAACATTTTCTAATTTTTTGATACATAATCTTTTACGATCATGGGCGCTGGCGGTGGTATTTGATAAAATGGCATGTTGAACAAAACGAATACTCACAGTTCTAGTGCTTTCTAGGCTTTCAGCCAAACAATATGGCGACGTCTCACCACGTGCACGACTCGCGAACGAGAACATGATACCACAACAGTAACGACGGCTTCTCTGACACGTTCTCCTTTTTTCTACTACCTGAGAATTCTTTTTACTACGATTTTAACTTCTGACACCATGTTATTCCCACTTTAACTGAGGAATGGACTCAGACAACTCAATGGGTCAAACTTGAGCCCGCGATAAGGTCATGTGATACTGGTCAGCGGATTCTCTGTTTGGAGAAAATTTGTATGAGACGAAGTCATGCGTTCTCTACTTTAATCACACAAGGACTCATGGGAAGACTCCAAAATCTACTTCATGCAACAGTAAGTTAGTGTGAGACGATATTCCACATTCATGTAATGATCAAGTGACAGCTGTCAAAACAGGGTATCCGCTGACCAGTATTACATGACCTTATTGCGGGCTTAAGTGTCGACCCCTTTAGTTTACGTGTTTTTTTGAAGTCTTCCGCTAACATGTTTCTAGTTTTCAACTGATCGCAGGCTCAAGATTTTTTTTCAACGCACACAGCACATAAAACAAGTTGTGCTTATGAGCCAGCGCCCCGACTTCGGACGCGAAACGTCAGCCTTTTTACAGGTAGGGAAGGCAGTGGCTATTAAGTTATCTCTTGCACCTTAATACCACCAAGAAAAAAAAAACCTTTGACTTTGCTTAGCATGGTCACGCGTTGGTTACGCTCTACGTCCCATTCTTATCTCAGGTTTGTCAAAATTTGACAGGTGAGTTCATGTGGAAAATTTATGAAGCATCTGATAGCTGAAGCTCACAGAGTTTTGTGTCATCTTTAATATTATGTTCTAACCGTCTTTTTGCACTGGGTCTACAACATCTGCTATTGAGAATCTTTTTCTTATTCATGTCTGGCCAGTTTATTGGATTTTTGGTTGAGACATGCGCCGCTTGACAAAAAAGTAATCGGAAATCATCGTTTTCAAAAATAAGCTACTCTTAGTAAGCTTACTACACCTTGCTGGATGCGCAAGAGGATTCAAAAGTCTTAAGCGATTCTGGCCTTACTTGATGGCTTTCAGAAGCTGCATCTTGACTGCATGGTAATTATATTGCATATGATGTTTGTTTGGTTTTTTTTTCTGGTTTCATGAAGTCGAGCGTTGTTTATGCCGTCGCTTTCCGTACGCACGTTTGTAACATTTGATGCACTGATCTGACCTAGTACAGAACTTAAAAAGTCTTTAGAGATTTTCTGACCGCAACTAGAAAGGAAAGGTTCTCAACAATATTTGGTTATGCTATTGGTAGTAAAAAGAAAGCTTTCAGCGATATTCTTGCCTCGAATTCATCTTGAAAAATAGCAAGCACAGCGAAGCCGGCTTAAAACTTTAGCTTAAATCTGGAAGGTCACCTCAATCTCAATAAGTGTCTTTGAGAATATAACTTCTTGTCCATTTCAATAAATTTTTTCATTGAATTATATTTGTTGTGTTGATTGCTTTCAAGATCTCTTTCTTATTGCTTTCCCGGTTGTTTTCAGTTGTACATGAACATCGCATGTAGGAGTACTCAAAAAGCCGCGTGTATCAACTGGTTTTAAAGATCACAGTGTTTAGAAGTAAAATGCAAACGAAAATGATTCTAAGACCTCTAAGCGTAACTCTATTACCGGGTACTGTTCATTCAAATACCAACAGCTCGCACTACAAGTTTGGCGCTTGGCAAAATTCAGACGTGGCACACGGGCCGACGGTTGATTTTGTAAATTGAATTAAAATAAGATTTTTTGCGAAAGTTTTTGCGCAAAGCCAATTACTACCCTGCATACTACAAAATTGCAGATTGACCTGACTGAACAGTCCCATCTAATAGCGAATTCTCTAAATAGGGCCTACTATATAAAAATGTTTTTTTGTTGTTAAAAGCAACGAGTCAACGTTCCGACGTTTCGGCTACATCATGACACCATTGTCAAGGAATAGAAATGAAAATGCTATGGGGTTCCCCCTCGGGCCTCCGCTAGCGAATGTGTTTATGCCATCATTGGAAGAAAAACTAGAGTCGGAAGGCAATCTGCCTGTTTCTTACCGCAGATATGTTGATGACACTCTCACTGTAATCCGACCTAATTACAGCTACGGACTTCTTAAACACCCTCAACCAGGCCCATTATTTCTGCTGTCAGTTTTTTAATGGAGACTGAAAAGGCTTCCCTTCCTCGGGAAAGAGCCTCTCAATCGAGCGCCCCAGATTGAGACTAAGTTGTACATGAAGCGTACCAATACTGGTCTACTTCTCCACTACCATAGTCATGTTGACAACCGTTACAAACGAAGCTTATTAACAACTTAATGCTTTAATACTTAAAATATACTCCTAAAACATTGCACACTATACTAGGAAATAAAAATCAATCAATAAATAAACAATAATTATGGATAAAAGAAGAATTTAAATGTCAAGTCTAAAACATATATCTACAATATAAAATTACTATTCCCAAGATTCTATCTACACTAAAATTTAATATTATAGTAACCTAATCATGGAACGTATTGTGGGAATTATACCATTAGTGAAGGGAAAGATATCAGTAGTTACAGGTAACTTATTCCAGGCTACTAGTGAACTTGGGTAAAACGAATATTTACAGATGTTACAACTGTACTGAATATGACGGAAAGGGAATACATTGAGGGCTCGAGAAGCCCTTGTTATTGAACATACTTCAGATGGAAGGGAGATACCAACTAAAACTTGTTGGATTTTATAAAACATTGATAATTGGTACGAAAGTCTACCTTGCTCAAGAGTGTCCCGACCAAGCTGTTTTGACATGGAAGTAACAAAACTTTGAGTAGTCTCAAAAACGAACCTTGCTGCTCTATGCTGAACTAGTTCGATTTGGTGAATATTCCGTTTAGTATACAGGTTCCACAAAGAGCAAGCATACTCTAGTTGAGGACGCACAAGGGTAGTGTATGCCTAGGATTTGACATCCGTGGAACAATCCGACAACACCCTTCTCAGAAGACCAATGTGCTATTGACCTTACTACAAATATTATCACAATGTTAATTCCAATTAAGATTATGAGTTATGGTTACTCCAATATATTTGGTGGAGGCTGATTTAGCAATAACAATATCATTCATGTGACAATTATAGGAAATGGGGACAACCTTATTAGTAATCCCGAAATGATAACATTTGGTGATATTAAAGTTAAGTTGCCAGGTTTCAGCCCATTCACATAAGCTGGCTAAGTCCTGCTGGAGCAGTGCATGATCACAAGTATTCTTAATCTCTCTATACACAATGCTGTCATCTGCAAAGAGACGCATTGTTGACTGGATTTGATCAGTAATATCGTTAATATATAGTAAGAATAAAACAGGACCCAGTACTGAGCCTTGCGGTACACCAGAAGGTAGAGGCCGAGCCGGCTGGAGTGAGTGCCATTTACAGACACCACTCGGGAGCGATTGCCTAAGAAGGCCTTGATCCATGCCGCAGTCTTTCCACATATTCCATAATAATCAAGTTTTAATAGTAAACGCTGATGAGGTACAGAGTCAAAGGCTTTGCTGAAGTCAAGAAGGATTACGTCAGTTTTTTAGCGCGAGTTAATGCATTTAGCCCAGTCACTGATTGCTGAAATAAGTTGAGTTTCACACGAGAAGCGTTGTCTAAATCCATGTTGCTGATCGATCAGGATATTGTTTGCGGCCAAGTGTTTTGCAATCTGACTCAAAATAATGTGTTCCATAGCCTTACAACATAGGGAAGTAAGAGAAATAGGGCGATAATTAGTAGGGTTTGACTTTGAATCCTTTTTACGAATAGCTGTAACCAGGGCTTTAGTCCAGTCAGGGGGTACTGCTCCTGTGTGATAGGACTTTCGGAATATAGAACTAAGCCAAGGTGCAATAGATGGGGCCAGTTCTTTACGAACACTGGCTGGAACTTCATCCGGACCACAGCTAAGGTTTAGGTTAAGTGCACAGGTTATAGCCATATCGCAGAGGGGGGATACCAATGTCCTCTGATTTACAAGATCTGACGTAATACCAAACTTTTGGGGGATCTCCTGAAGGCTTGCCTCGATAACATTGTTCAAGCAATCACTACGAGATTCTTTAACAATTCTTGAAACGAGGTTCCGTTGTTTCTTAAACGCCACCCAGTGGTCTGGATTCTGGTAGCGGAGAGGTTTCTTATGCAAACGATCTTTCTTTCTCATTTAACGTTTGATTTCAGGGGTTAGCCAAGGGAGCTTGTATTTCATGAAAGAACATCTTTGAGGAATGTAATTAACCATGGCCTTTGTAAGTGTAGTTTTAAAGAGAGACCAGTTATCTTCTACAGCAAAGTTTTGGGGAGCTGAAGTAAGGAAGTTCTCTGCAGAATTGGACATGGACTTCTTTAAGCCATCAAAATCTACTCTTTTGTGGTCAAAAATCTTGTGTGGAGGTTTAAATGACCTTGAGCTTTAACATTTATTTTAAAAGGATTGCCAGACGATCACTCATCCCAGGTATAGTATGGACATCAGAGATAACGTTTGGGTAAGATGAAAATAATAAATCCAAAGTTTTTCCAGATGTTGGACGAGTAACACATTTCACGTGCTGCGTGAGGGAGACGTCCTCTGTAATACGAAGCAGCCTATTGTGTAGAGCCGACGGGGGTAACTGAGTTGTTAGCAAATGGGACCTCAGAGGACCTGTCAATATCTCCAAGGTTGAAGTCACCTGCCGCTATTATGTTAGGGTGATGATTAGAGGATTCGAAGACACAATTAAAGAAATCTGAAAATTCTTCCAAAACATCTTGTGGAGAATAGTAACAAGATGCTAGGTAGAGAGTTTCACAGTTAACGAAATCTTAAATGATGACCAGAGGATTTCGCAATCTTTTCCAAAGTTAGGCATTTCCTCGCAAACGATTTCGGACTTAATCGCCTGGAACACACCTCCCCCATTACGATTTCGGTCCTTTCTGAACACGGAATAGATGGGCGGGAAGAATGAATAGGTTGGCACTTCGTAGTCAAGCTTTGATTCACAGCCGAGGATGATATTAGGTTTGTGAAAGTCAAGAAGAATTTGAAATTCAGAGAAACGAGATGGACCCTTCAGGCAGTTGCAATTGGTGATCATCCCCTTTAAGCCAGAAGATACCTTGGTATGGATAGGGGGAGCTGGGAGCTGACAGGTAGACAGGCTGCTGTTTGGTGATGGTGTTGATTGGACATGGACGATGTTAATGTTATCCGAGGATTCATTCAGAATACTCGTGTCACCGTCTGAAGAAAGATCCAAATCGGAGCTGGGATTTCTAATATCAGCAAAAGGCAGGTTCTTTGAAGATATAACACACGCAGTGCAGCTCCATGGGAAGCTGACAGTGAAGGGGGCAAGTTTGGTGTATTCAGCAGGTGTTACTTTACCACATTTGATGTGACACCAACAGAGGCAAACATCGCATTGAATCGCTCGGTGGTTATATGCGACACTCCGTCGGCAGACTGAACGTAATTTTTTATTACAGTTAGGAGCTGGACCAGGATTGGGAGAAATGTCGCCACAAAAGAGAAGCCGTATCAGCCGGAACCCAGTAACTGAGTTGGGATAGTGCGCCAAACTTGAGGATAGAAACGTCTTGCGACGGTGTGCAAGATATCCAAGATGGCGGAAGAGTGACCACACTATCGCGAAAACCGTGGATAAAGGTGCAAAAAGTAGATGACTTCAATCCTTTTTCCTTAAGATGGTGTAGTAAATCGTTTGGACGCAGCGAGCAGACATAAGAAAGCAGAAATACATTGTAAAGAACTCAGCTCAGGAAAACACATTCAGCCGCCATGACAACCGCTGACCCTTGATCGTGCGTACCGTTTGTCCGCGACATGGTTTTACTATTCGGAGAAGTGTGAATGCTTGAAGTCTCTGTTTTCACGTTTGAAGTACCCCCAACGCCTTATCAACTCCACCAGTAACACTTTTGTTAGCTCGGGGGTTGCTGACCCGCAGCCATCGCAGGCCTCGGCGGAAATGACGAGTTGTGATGTGACTCGGGTAGTTATACCCTTTAAGGAGCAGGATTCGGCCAACTTTGTTAAGACACAGTTGAAAGACCTAAGTCTTAAGCTCCATACTACAATCCAACCCGAATTTGTGAGTAACAAAATTGGCCAGGACCTCCACGAATGTGAGACGAAATCACAAGTGGTTAATCAACAGTGCGTACTGTACCACTTTCAATGTAACCCGTGTGATACAGGTACCTATGTTGGTTATACGCGTGGGCATATTTTACACGGGTGAATGGCCACAAAAGTAAATCATCTCCCGTGCGCAAACAATAAGATAAAGACCACGCGGGTGCCGTCCCTGAGGACCTTCTCAGCTGCTTTAGTGAGGTGCTTTACATCAAACAATTAAGACCGCCTTTGAACGTGCAACCGGATTCAATCCGTACTAAGGTCAGTCATTCATGCAAATTTTATAAAGTACTTTAACTCCTTTTGAACTCGCATTTTTATTTCTATTCCTTGATACTGGCGTCATGATGTCGCCAAAATATCGGAACATTTTCTCATTGCTTTTTACTTGTTTATGTAATTAGAATTTTATGATGCTGAGATTTTTATAATTTGGTGTGCAAGAGAAGCGCGTGCTTCGATCGTCCTGATTACTGAATGAGTGCAATTTGTCTTTTAAGATTATTCTGTGAAAAACTGCAGAATTATAAGTAAAATAGGGGAAAAAATTAGATAATCTCTATCCGAGGTCTGAACGATAAACAAAAAACTCGTGATAGTTCTGTTTATGTCAGAGGTGATGTAAAAAGGCTGGTTTACGCGCTAACAGATTTGTAAAGTAAACTCGTAGCGAACCACACACAAAAAATCCAGCCTGATTTTTCAGTTGGCCTTTCCTTTAGACAGAAAGATAAAACCAACAAGTTATAACGTGTCTTAACAGCCTTTATAGCATAAAATTATATTTCGGGACTGTCCAATTACCCTTATAAAATAGACAGGGAATTGAACATCTAAGAAGTTCGTTTCATTCTGTTTTCCTTATGTTTCCTGTGAAAGTAGTTCAGGAATCATCCTCGTGAAAGGCGTAGTAAACCCTGGCCTCCAACACTCAGAGACAACCATTAACTATGTATCAACATGTGAAGTAAATTTACCTTTCTTGATTTCAACAGAAACCGTCGTATAATTCAATTTACTTCTGGCAATGCAGGTGTAAAAACCAAAATCCATGTCTTCCATCGAGTCAATGATCAATCGCTGGGAGTTTGTTGAAGTTGGTGATACTGTATTTCCTGTGTTATTATTTGACCATGTGACATTAGGAGCAGGGTTCCCTTTCGCCACACAGCTTATGTTCAATGGATCACCAATCTTGAGTAAAAGAGGTGCTTCACCTTCCTTAGGTTCAACTATGACTGGTGCCACTGTCAAAAAGAAAAAGAATCATAAAACAACTACTGTTTCAGTTTTAACATTTATTGCCGGTCAGCAAAAATGAGCCTACTGGCATATTATTGGTGGAGTGGCCAGCAACAATTTATAATTGGCATGCAGTTAAACTTCTCCTCCATGGCCACCTTGGGGACAGAAAAAAAGTGGCCATTGTAAGGAGATGGATGTTGCCAAAACTGGCCGTACAAGACTACACTGCTTGAAAACATTACCAGAGCTGTCATTACGGGACCGTAACCCGAACACCTGTTACAGCTGCTCTAAAAATTAATGACAGCCCTGATTGCAACTTTCTCAATCGCGCCAACATTGTCTTAACTGTCAGTTGTGAGCATCGAGTAGAATGTCCTTCAAACTGGGATGTCCAAAAAATGCAAAAAGTCAGCGCTTTTTGCAAAATACCACCTTTTAAATTTGGACATGAACAAAGATGACCGTTTTTGCGTCATGTTAAAACGACAAAAATCGCTTTTTTTTGCCTTCACGATTTTTATATACAGAAATCATCATTGCAAAACCAAAAGACAACATTCACAGTAAAAGTAAAATTCAGTCCTTGTTCTAGCCTAGAAGTAGCTTTTTTGTTCTAATTTGTTTCCTGGGCCACGCTACACCCTTTGTTCTAGTTCATCCTGGCCTCGTTTCCATTTTCAACATCACTACCGCATTGCATGCTGGAAAATAGCCAGAATTTTTGACAGCGTTTGTTCCTCCCCTCCCCCTCCCCCCAACTTTTTACATATTTGTACAGAAGTCTAGAGCCCCTCCGACCTGCCACGGAAATAGGCAAATTTCTTATTCGCGAGCGGCCTAGGACGAGTGCTTGTTTTCGTGCGAAAGAGAGGCTAATGCGGGTCACTTTTGGCAAGAAGACAAACAAACATGAGGAAACTGCGGCAGGGTTGCGGGAAAACGAGGAAAACGTTAAAGGAGGTTTTGGTGGGCTCCAAACTTACTTGCCGGCTTGAGAAATCATTGTTTCGAACAGCAAATTAAAGGAAAATCAGCTCTTCGTCACCGAGAAAAACAAACAGCGTAAACAGAAATTGACCGAAAGAGTGAGTTGGTGACCAAGTTCAATAAAAATGCGAAGATGGTCTCAAAATCCTCAAAACATTGTAAAAGCCATTTTAATGCTAACTTTCAGTGGTCGATATAGCTTCTTCAAGGACACCTTTCATTGAAATGGGGGTAGTTGTCAAAAAGATGCAATAAAGTTAAAACACCAACTTTTCAGTTGACGTTTTCTAACAAAGCTGTAGATAAACCGAACTAGTATTTTCGGTGGATAAATATCTATCACGACGGGGATGAAGTTCTGCATACATTCCTTGCACTATTTTCACTCGATTTGAAGTTGAAACAGACTTTCATATAGACGATAATTCTAAGCAGTTTAAACTTCATTTTACAGATATACACCCGAGTAATACAGAATAACAAGAAGTTTGAAAATTATAAAGGGAATCGAATATTAGATGATATTTAAACATTTTAACATAATTTACCATTTTCAAGCTTAAGTTTACTTCTTCTTTTGGCTTCACTCATGGATTTTTTTTTATTTCTTTGTTAGTTCGACCAGCTCTTTTCACAGTTTTGTTGTTTGAAACAGATATGCCCTTAGCTTACTGGTAAAGTTTGAGCTTTGAAATCTTATTATTTTCATGATTTGTATCGTTTTCCAGCGCACAGCTGCAATTTGCTTATGCTAGTTTATGTTAGTTTTTGTTTTCGCCAAGACGTTGACCCGCATTAGCCTCGATCGCAACCATGCTAAAAAGTTTCTCGTCCCAGGGCCTTCGGGGAATACGAAACTTGCCTATTTCACAGTTGTTGTGATTTTCAGTGGTCGCAAATTCCAAAATATGCAGTGGTAGGTCCTATAGTGACCCAGTATCCTCGTTATCAGGGGGTAACCGGTAAAATTTACCGCCGGAAGCAACATTTCTTACCGCCTGCAATCGCTTGAAGGTTTACTAAAATTAAACAAATTGTTTGTTTGCTTTTTAAAAGTTGTGATCCAGTCCGATTCTCACAGGGAAATGAATGAATATATGAAAAAGTACTAAAGTATACAAAGCATTTTCTTTTAGGGTTACGCATTTTGGAAAGAGAACATTGAGGACAGAGTAAAATTATTGGAATGAAACGTTTTAAATTGCTGAGCTGTTTTGAAAAAAAAAAAAAAAAGCTCAGAAGTCAGTGGTCTAAGCGTATGTATCTCTGTGGCTTTGTCTGTTCGGATGTGTGTTGCAGGGGCCAATAAGGTTGAAGGTTGAAGGAGTTTATGCCTAGGAACCAATCAGATTTTGGCATCTAAACATGCCATTGTTGCGCTAAAGGTCATACAAGGGCACTTTGAGACCGCCATTTTGGTTCTTCACAATTTTGTCGTCTTTTATTACGGCTAAATGTGTTTAGAAGCATAACATTTAAATAACTTCATGATTCAAACGCTGAGTACAGTGATGAAGCTGTTAAAAAGATCATATTTTAGTGTGCCTGCTGGTTCAAGACATTTATGACCTAATTCGGCTATTGCAAAGGGCACAACGTACGTGAATTATGTCTCACCTGCTTCAAAATGAAGTTTAAAAAATCATATTTTTCAAAGGTCTACAAATGAAACGTTAATAATTGGCACTTATATATTGAGTTTAACTTGGAAGTACGCGGCGTAATTGTGTTCTAGAAGTTTGAACAAGAGTTGATTTTATTAAAGCAGTACCGAGTATACTGATTCCGTAAACATCCTTTATTCTCTCTCGTACAGGGTTCAACAACCTTTAAATTCACGTTCCGGCAGCTTAAGTCCAACCATATCAGATACATGTTTGCTTTCATAAACGTAATTAAAACGTATTTAAATTACCCAGTGGCTAAGTAAAGATGGGTAACTTTTGCGTTAGAAAATAAACTTGAAGGTAGCCAGTTGACGAAATAATCAGAGAATTAATAAAACACCCTCCAAGATCTGCATAATTCTTCACATCATACGAAAGCCAAATTCAATTATATTGCTTTATTATTCACTTGTACATGCAATTCGTAGGCCCGAAGTTCAAGTCCTGCCCTGGCCACTAGCTGGACTTGTCACGCTTGCTAGTCTTGAGTTTAAATCCTCGGGCATGCTTGTAATACAGCAAATTGGTTCGCCTCTTGCCAGTTGGGATTGTTGATCATGTTATGTTACATTTAAATTGTTTGTTTGTTTCAAACCTGCACACAAATGTTGTCTTATTTTTCTTTCCGTTCTTTTCGAAAACATTGGCGGGCGCGCGATCGAAGAAAGCGATAGCGAGCGCGGAGTGCGAGAAAGAAAAGTAAAGAACTGTTTTCTCCTTCCCCCACCCCTACCCCACTGAGCTGGCGGTCAATAAATCCCCCGCCGTTTTTGTTCTTTTATCACGCGCACTCGACCGACTTAGAAGAGAAATAGAGGGTCTGTGAACAGGCTAGCATAGTTAATGTTCAGGTTCAGTTCAAGAGGGTCAAGAGGCAAGCTCCTTTTCTCTGTTTGTAACTTTCTTTTCCACAACCTTGCCCAGGGTGCCAGAGACCTAAAATTTTACCTAAATTGTATTTCCTAATCAACGTCTGTAAGTAAGCAGATCCGTGAAACTTGATTCAAGCCTCCCGAAACTCGATTCGTTCCAGTTTCGAGATTCGTGACTCGGCTTTCAGCTTACTAGTCGCAGTACTCACTTTGAAATCGAGAGAAAAAAAAAACACGACAATATTTTCCTTACTCAATCAAGTGAGTACTGTTGCATTCACTTTACAAGGTGGCCTTTCTGAAGCATATCATTTCAAATGCAATCAATGTTTAATAGTTGAAATATATACCTTAGCCATGTTTCGTTAGTTAATTTTTTGCTAACATTGATAATAAACTGTGTTTTTGCAACCGAGTACTGTGCGGGATGCTCGATACATTCGTGCCTGAACAGCTTACCCTGTACTCGGCTCCAGTTTAGGGGAATGGGCCCGGCATGGCTAATGAGGGAATTTGCCTTGTAAAAACTTGCCATGTTGTGATCACGTACTTGTCTCCAAAATGCCTAAAAGGCATAGGAAAAATGGAGAAAAAGACTTTTTATCCAAAAACCAGGATTCAGACAATCATGGACAAAAGTCCTTGGGACACTAATGCAATATTCATATTTTTCCAGTGTCATTTCTGGGTTGCCTTATAAAACAGAGCGTTGTTTTTGAAATTTTCTTGCAGTTCTCCCTCCCTCCACCCTATACAAAGTTGAAACTGGAAAAAATTCTGGATACCCGGTATATGCATCCAGTTTTGTTTGTGGGGTGAGGGGAGGGGTTGGGCCTGCGTGAATTGGAAAACACCATAGAAATGCAAGTGTCCCAAGACTTTTGTCCATGATTGTAGCTTGACCTATAAGTAGGAAATCTGTTCTCTTGGCTGTACTGGTATGGAGCACATAAACTAAAATTCAGTATCTCAAGTTTTTACTAAACTGATGTTCTTACCAAGTCTGACAAATCTCAAGATTTGCCAATTATCTCCCAGGAAATTGGATGCTTGGCAACGGTAGAATGCATTTTGATGGTCTTTGGGAACTTTCACAATGCTTTCATTTGTTGGTTTTGAGCTGCTAGACAACAACAGATTACAAGGAACAGTAATCCACTTGTCTTCCTTAGGAACACAGGTACCGGCAGGTTTTTGAATATCACATTCCAAGTTTATTAAAGCATACTGCCAACTGAATAATGGCAATGGGTTGCTCCTGGTCACTTTACAGGACACTGTAGCTGCTTTGTCTTCTACCACAACAACTGCATCTAATCTCTCTTCAAGTGTCGGTTTAACTGCATTCAAACAAGATTGTTAGTTGATGCCTAGTTCATGTCACTTTCCTGAATAACGTAGTAAAACATCTAACGTATTTGTGGCTATTTTCCCAACAGCTGCATGTGGTCTGCTCTCTATGAACTACTGTTGTGGTTATTGAACTACTGCAGTGGTTATTGAACTGTTGTGTGGTCACTGAACTGATTGTCTTTCCTGAACTATACATACAAAACACAAAAAGCGGAAAACTGAGCTATTAAATCTATATACTGGGCTATTCTGGCATATGGCAACATGTCTTTCCCTTAAACTGTGCGCTGTGGGCCAGATCTGTCAGCTTAGTTTACTGAAGGTCATTGCACCCGTACGCCAGGCATCCTATTGAATGCTTGTAAAAACAGAGGGATGTTCCTGGGCCGGGTATCATGGTTGTAAAACCCCGTCATATTTCATTATCAACTTTATCAAACTTTTCTTCCTTTTTTATTTATTTGCTTACTTATTTTTTGGGCTTAGACCATAATAAAAATGTTTAACTAAAGCAGTGCTGTACAGTTTTTAGATACAAAATAGTTTGCGTATTTTGTCTATATCTTCTTTGGAGAAAGAAGAACAGGCCTCGCGTTGCTTACTCCTTCAAGTTGCGCGCGAAAGTGCACGGCGGTTGCCGGTTAACGTTTGAAGAATTTGCGCGTGATGTGCAATGGCGTAAGTAAAGAAAACGTAGAGTGGTCATTCTACCGCTGGTTTTTGTTCAAGCTGCGGTGAGTTAGTTATATTTGAAACTTTATTTTTAATTCGTTTTGGAAAGAAAACTGTTGTTTCCGTTCCAAGGCATCGCCTGAAATTCTTATAATCTCTTATATGCACAGGCGTTATCGTATCGAAAGACTTTTAATATATGGTCAGGAAACAGAGCAGCTGATTTTCAAGTTTGAAACAGCCAGGAAAGTTGGAAGTTCAGGACTTTAGCGGTAAAAAATATCAATTTATTAAACATAGTAGTCGACTCAGGCACGTAGGGCCAGCTGTGGTACCACAGTTTGAAATTAAACGTGCGGAAAGAGTTCCAAAAACAAGATTTTCTCCCCCGTTAACCCTTATATTTTTCTGCTTTCTCAGCGCTTGCTTTGTCGGTTTATTCAGTATTAGTATAGTATATCGTTTTCCTTCTTGTCGTATTAATTCTCCTTTTCAGCGCTGACTCTCTTTCCAGGTCTGTTCACTCTGCCCCTGATGAGAATGACAGACCTTCTGAGCTGACTATTTATTTTTAAATTGCAATCGGTCTATGTCCCTTTTTTATTGCAGTGAGCTCATTAGAAAGTTTGGTTTTTGTGTCATCGCTAAATGAGTATTTACCACTTAGTTTATGCTATACATTCACAATAAAAAAGATTTAGCCAGGGCTGAAAGCGATGCCTCCGTTTCTAGGCTTATGATAAAACTAATCAACTTTAAACTAATAAAATGAACCTTGCGCCAAAAAAAAAAAAGAAAGAAGGAGCCTTCAGCATCAGTTCACTTTTAGAGGGAGGGGCTAAATGATTAAGAAACAATATCCCGCAAACAAACCTGAATTGAAAAAAAAAAGTGAAATTGTAGTTCTCTTTGGTAGCAGCAATTTCAGTACAGGTTACGATTTCTAGGGTCAGTATTTCTATCTTAAAGGAAAGACCTAAAAGCAAAATTAGGCTGGCTTGGGGACCTTTGTGTTCCCAAGGAAGCCCTTTATATATTTTTTTCTTATTTTTTTTAAAGGGGCCCGGAAGAACAGTTATGTGTAGCCTTTACATTTATACAGCCTCACAATATCTGATAGAAAGTTTCACCGTAAGGTGTATTCTTTGAGGACAGACATGATAGGAAATCAAACGATAACCTTTTTCGCTACTCATAACTATAATCCAATCTTTGAACTACCCAAACTGTGCGGTTCGTGTTCTGTTCATGTGCAGGGCATTGCTGAGAAATGTGCGGTAGCCTATAGTTAATTAGAAACGTCAATAATAGTACAGCAACTTACAACTTGTTTTTTTTTTTTAATAAATAATAAAGACAAATTCGGGCTCGAAAAGTCGACGGGTCTGTCGTTAGAATAGAGGAGAACTCTTTCATATTTTAGATAAGCCCACTTTTTGAGCAAGAATATATTCACCGGCTGGAAGGTCCGTATTGGGAGAAACTGTGCCCGAGGCCTGTACTCAGACCGAGGGCACAGTTTCTCCCAATACGGACCGATCTAGGCCGGTGAATAACATTTTTATTTTTTTCCTACAGAGATTTAAAAGTTTCAAGAAAATTCTCCTTCACCCTCCAACCTATGTGTGTTGAAGTAGCACGCGTCCTTGTTGATGAAGCGCTCGATCGATTGAAAACAAAAACAAAACATTACAACATAATTTACATTATGGCACTTATTGCTCTCTTTTAGAATAAAGAAAGGTTTTTGTGTCTTGTTAGAAAATTCATAATCTGAGTGTCAAACAAGGATAAAAGAATTTACGAGATTGATATTAAAAGCCTCAGTAAAAAACTACAACAAGCTAGGATTTCGTTTTCGATTCCCTGAATAATTCAAAAATTGCTTTAAGAGTAGTTCAATCGCGGAGCGGGATAAAAACTGCACAAAGGCTTTGTAAAAAAAGCTAATTACACATACCATTTTTAAAGTTTTGAATTGAATTCGAATAAAAAAGGTCATGTGAGTAAGAAGTTATAAACAAAGAAATGAAAACGGCGATAACCGACTACTGGAAAAGTGATTCGTGTTGTTATTTCAGATTGAAAGCTAAATGCAATCATTGACACTGAACTATGACTGATAAGTAGAAAACAAGCGAGACAAAATTCAATGAAAAACGGAAGAATTCAGATTCATACGGCAAACAAAACTACAAACAGAGCAAAAATGTCGTACATAAAAGCAAGATTGCAGTGCTTACAGGGGGCTTATAACACTAGAGAAGCGACATCACGAGTCACCTGTTTTGCTTTACTTTTAATGATCTTTAATAGCGGTTTTCCTGGCTGACGGTGCTTGATTCTCCTTTCAGATTTTTTGTCTGAATTATAAATTCACGTTTTCCTAGCTAATGCTAATAATGGTGGAAGTTTAAAAAAAATGGTTTGAAAAAGAGAGTTTTTGTTCCTTCACAAACAACAAACAAACTTGAAACTGCCAACGATTCCGCCCGGGTTAGCGGGCAAGCTTCCTTGCAGGTTAATGCACCGTTAATCGAGAAGGCCCGAGGACGAGGTTGAGTTGTTTTGGTTGTGAAAACAAAAATGGCGGAAATTTCACTCGTTTCAAAAGTAAGAACTAGGCGAAATAACAGCTAAAAACATAGCAAGAATAGCAAGAAGACAACTCGAAGGGCGACATCTGCTATTTGGAGAATATCTGCGGAGCTGAACAACCCTAAACGTGCACTATCGAAGCATGTTTTAGCTATGTTTTTAAACTTGTCCAGTAATTATTTTGAATGAATAATAAAACAATTATTGAATTCGGCTTTCGTATCATATGAAGAATTATGGATATCTCGGTGGGTGTTATCCGTCGAAGCCGTATAACACCCTCCTCGATCTCCATAATTGTTGAAAAGATAATTAGCCTCATTCATTAATTATTAAATGTATAGTGTACTTGGGATTTTGTTGTCAAGACCTCCTCAGCTAGCAACCCTTTTCCAAGAAAGAAAACTGACTGAATATCCGGTAGAAAGAAGTAGAATAGAAGGATTTCAATACCAGAACGTAAGGGCCTTAATGTAAACAGTGCGACCACACTCAGGTTTGTGTTTCTTCTTAGAGATACATTGTATTTTCTAGTGTAGTGTTTACAGCTAAACAGATGTCATTACTCGAACGAGAAAAATTACCTGTAAGGCGATAAGCCTCTCCTTCAAATAAGCCTTCCCCCCACCTCGAATTCGCCCTCCGTTAAGAACACAATTGCTTGCCGTAATTTGTATTTCTTCTACGGTTTTACCAGGTTTCACCCACAGAGGAAAAGGTTTGGAAATATTGCATAGGGAAAATAATGTGTTCAAACAAGTGCGAGCAGTTAAGGGCCGAGAAGGATTAAAATTAAATTAGTCTCGCCTGTTTGATTGAAAAGCTTACAGGTCCTCCTTTAACTTAAGAGTTAAAATTACTTACATCACAAGTGGTACAAGACAATAAACTGTGGCTCTTGATGTTGGTTCTGAGCAAGTCATTTGTGAATGGTCTAAAAATTATACATGTATATGTAAATTATTGGTTACACAAAGAACAAAGGTATTATATTCCGGCCTAGCTTATAATAAATACCTTGAACATCCAAACTGACAATTAACTCAGCATCTGGTGAAAGTCCATTTGATGCAACACATTTAAAATCACCAACATCTCTTGGATACGATACATTTCTTATTCTGAGGACTTGATACGTGTATATATGGTGAAGCCTAGAAGAACCATCTTCATAAATTTCATAGGCAACTTTATCACAACTCTGAGATTTTGTATGGCAGTTTGTAACATTCAGTTTCTTGCCATTTCTGTACCAATCTACAGTTGGTTTCGGAAATCCCTCTGCTACACAGTTTATAGACATGGTGGATCCCTCTCGTATGTCCGTTTGCCCTGTATAGGGACTTATTGAAGGTGCAGAAGGCGCTAAATGTATGAAAGAAACAGATTTTACATAGATTAATACTTAATGGTAGAATACAGTCGCAACTACCGTAAGTGACCGCTTAAAACGCGAAAACCTAGTGGTCGCTTACAGGAGGTGGCCATTTACGAGAATTGAACCATAGGAGGTCTCTGTGATCTGTGAATTGAACCATAGGAGTTCTCTGTGATCTCTCCTGTGATTTTAATATTGTAATTTTACCGGGTAATTTTACTGGTTTTTAATTTAGTTATTAATAATATTGTAATGCGCTTTTGAGTATTTTTATAGAAAAAGCGCAATATAAGTATTAAATATTATTATTATTATTCCGAGAAGTTAGAGGTCCCGAAACATCTACTTTTTGAAAGAGAATTTATTGCCTGCAATTTCTAAGTTACGTATAAGCGTAGTTCCGTCTTTGCACTGAAATCCACTGTCTTGTCCAAAGACCGTGTACTAATTCTTGCAGCTTGGAGACTTGAATATCCACATCCACATAGATGTCTCTACCGACGCTGATACAGTTCTTAAAATTTAGGATCTTCTGGAATCACTCGGCCACACCCTTGATCTTGTTATCACGCGGAAAATGGAGAACACCATAGCTCGTCCACCACGCGTTTTTCGTTATTTCTCTGATCACGCCGCTGTTCATTGCGACATCAACATCAACAAGCCTGCTTTTCAAAAAAATGAATTAAAATATTTTATACAGGAAGGCGACGGCGGTAGACATGGGCTGTCTCAAGCGTGATCTTGCATAGACCTAAGGAAGAGTGGGCAGGATAACCCTTCTTATTCCTGTGAGCTGGATATGCTTGTACCCGACTACAATGCGAGTCTGAGTACAGTAGTAACATGGATCGTCACGCGCCACTGACAGCCTAAGTAGATTAAGGCCTGGGTCTAATCATTATGGTTTTTATGTACATTTTCCAAAAACCATTCTCATCCACGGGGAAAGATTGATAGTAAACTAAACTAAACTTCAAAAAAAAAAATTGAAAAAAATAATAAATCTAAATTACCTGGTCACGTGTTCGATCACGCCCTCTATTGTTTAAAAATTGTAACCTACGATTTCCACCACTTGCCAAACGTATAACTCCAGTTTCTCTGTACGTCAAAACGTTGACCCTACAAAGTATCTACAAATCAGCGCGGAATGGCTTGAAACGTTACAATTGGCAGGTGCGATTGGTGTACATTGGCTAGTGCCAGCCCTGCTCTAACTAAAATTTTCGTCAGGAAAAAGACCGTTATTGACCTCGTTTCATTACTACCGTTTTTAAAAGAAGAGTATTAGTAGCCTTTTTTTAGACCCACAAAAGGAAAACAGTTTGCTCTCTATCTAGTGGGCTTTTCGACTCAAAAGCTTTCTTGATAAAACAGTCACGTGATGTAGTTCTAAACAATTTCGATTAGCCTTAAATTAAAAGTCATGGGATATCTTGAAAATACTTACACTAGACACTCCCCTCCCCCCCTCTTAAAATTCTGAGAATTCTGTAAAGACCCAGGGCCTTAATCTACTTGAGAACGAGAATTGTTAGGGCTAGGCCTCAGGCTCCTTGATACAATTCGGATATTGCAGACGCGAGGAGGCAGCGTATGAAAGTGGAGAAAGGTTAGAGGAAGACGAGGATATCTAAGGCACTGGACATGTTCAAGATATTGAGAAATCATGTAACCGGCATCGGCAACACTGCACGCAGGGAATTCTATTTTATGAGAGAGAGCAGCAGTGATCAGGGAAGATTGTACAGGGCCAATAAAGTACTTCTCTTTCCAAAGGATGATTTTTGAATGAATAAATGAATGAATGATGCTTTATTTCTGTCAAAATACAAGACTATGGAGTGCCGCCTTTCCGCTAGTCATTGCAGCGAAGCCAGATACAGCAAAGTCTGACTATCTCAGGATATAAACTGATTGCTGGGTTGTGAATAGATCGAGAAACGGTTTGGGACTAAGTCCATTTTTCACTTTATACATCAAGATGCAAATATCTTATAATCGCCTAGTATTTCTTAAAGTGGGTAAATTTGCCCTATCTAATAATGCCTGGTAACTTGAATTTCTGTCGTTAAATGCGGCCCTTAGTCCTTTTTCTTGTATTCTCCTTAACCTACGTGTATCGCTTGCTTGACAAAAATGCCAAACCAAATGACACATAAGTTTTATGAGGTAAGATAGCCGCCTTATAAAGTTAATGCTCGCTAAGACATAGTTTGTCATCTATTGTTACTGCTAAACGTTTTAGGCTGCTCGATAGGCTGATGACTGTCCTTAATATTAATCACATGGGCATTGTGCTCTTTGACACCCTTGCGACAGATGTTTATTGTCTGGTACTTTCTCAGATTTCTCTCCAAAAAATTGGAGTCATACGAGCTCGTGGAGGCGTACTAGCCGAAAATGTCCTTAAGTATCTGCACTGGGACCGTTGCTTTAAAATATTTTCCAAAACGACTTGACCTATTATATCACTTCATCTTTATCGGTGTACGCTTATGACCGCCAGATCTACGAAACAACATTTGGTTACCACCAAACTAAAGGAAAAGTGCCGCTGTTGCAACTGACCGGTCCTGTAAGCAACCACTTGACGCATGGTGTGGTCTCTTTGTTTGCTGTATGTACTCTGCCACTCAGAGTATTTAAAGAACCTTCAGTAGCCTGTGGGGGGAATTCGGGTGCACAAGATCACCAGGAGATGGGTGTAAAATGTCTGGCTGTAATAGGATCAAGTGTGCAGCTTTTCTTTGATGATTTATGAATAAGCATGCTCATTTCCTCTTCAGAAGGTGGTGTGCATGTGAAGTCATTGAATGGCTGACATAATCATACACGGCGTCGTAATGAACCCCTTCCTGAGTTTCTATAACAGCAGCATCAAGATCAATACGGATATTAATGATTTACGATGGAAAAATCGACCAGTACCATTGGCTAATATCAGTCTAAATGATAGCAAATCAGTTGTAAAGGATCAAAACAGAGTAGCTGAGATACCTGTGAATCATTTTTTCACTATTGCTGACGGCATTTGAAATAACATGAATACAGAACACTCTCTCATGGTTAATTTTGCTGACCACCCAATTGTACAATTAAAGAATTGCACATTCTAAGAGATCCACGCGAATGTTGAACTTTGAACGGAATAGCGCGAAACAAGTACATGAGGTTCTCGAAAAACTTGACGCAAACAAAGCACCCGGATATGATGCTCTACCGATAGAGATGATTGGCGCCGCAAAACTAGCTATATAGCTTACCCACTTTACAAACTTTTCAACGTTTGCATTGAAAAAAGAAAGTGGCCAGATGAGTAGAAAAAAAGGGGAGTAGACACCTGTTTTCAAACAGGGTGATCGCTGTGTGAGGGAAATTATCGACCCATCACAATCATTTCTTGCGTAGGTAAAGTATTTGAACAAAAAATGCTGGCAAAGCAGTCTCCATAAATTCTGAAGGTTGTCTAGGAGATAGCCCAACCGCTTATAGAAATAATAATAGCTGTGAAAATACCCTTGTCAGCTTAGTAGAAAACCAGAGACATGAAATGGATAATTCATCGTCAGCACCTATCATTTTATCTACAAATTATGTCTAAGTCTTTCGACTCCATCCATCCTCCACTTATTTTACGCTCAGTAAATTGAAAGCTTGCGGATTCTATGACAATGCGATAAGACTTCTACGTAGCTATTTATGTTATCGATACAAACGGGTTCGAACAGGATCCCTTAGGTTAAAAAAAATGCAAAACTAGTGATATATCGAACAAGTACATGGTTGATGTAATACTGTGTTTTCGTTTTGTTTTCATAGTGTAAGTGCACTATCTTATTATGTAATGTAAATGTAAATGTAAATGTAAATGTCGCGATTGAGAGGACAAACATACATGTCCTCTTTACATAGCTTTTTGCAGTGGGCTCGGACATCAGCATACTAAGGGCGCCGATGGCAGCCGCTATCAGTCCATTTATGAGCCCACTGAACCCTCCCAACCCATGATGAGTGATGATGTAAGTGATGAAGATAGACCACAACACCGGGAATTACGTCCCCTACTCTTTTCGAATAGTGTGTGGGTTCTTTAACAAGGAATTGATCTCTGGGAGACCGAAAACAAATCCATGCGATTAAAAGTAACCTTACAATGCAATACAATAGAGCTAACCTACCCATGACGGTTATATTTGTCTCCTTATAATCCGATTTATTTGGTGGAACTGATACTGTGCATTTGTATGTACCAGTGTCCGCAAACTGGGCATTTGTAATCTTCAGGGTTGCTCTCACATAGTTTGCATCTTTAGTGATGTTAACTTGACTGTTGGGGACTGCTGCATATGATTTATCATCCTGTTGCTTTTCCCACTTCAGGGTAGAAACTAAAGGGCCTTCAGCTTCACATGTGACTTCTCCACTCTGCCCTTGAAGCACATAGATTGATTTGCTTGCCGGTTTTAGCACAAAATGTCTAGGTAACTGAGCTGTAAAAATGTTTAAGATATATACAATAAACATGCTGTATTTGATACGCCGTCTCTGTAAAATGACAATTATAATAACTAGACTACGAGTAGTCCCTTATTTTTCCTCAGGGATGGTAGAGCGAGCGAAACGCAAGCGCGCGTGAAAATCACTGCACGCGAGAAAAAGGGCGACACGCGGGGGAACTCTCCCCACCGGGACTTGCCTTTCTTGCGTGGGGTGATTTTCACGCGCGCTTGCGTTTCACTCGCTCTACTACGAGTAGTCCCCCATTTTTCTTCAGGGATAGTCTATATAACAACTTACTTCGGCGTTTGGTAAAAAGTCTGTATCATTGCATGGAATTAAACAGTATCTGTTGACCTTTATTAGCCATCTCCCACCCTCAACCCATACCACACTCCTGCCTTTGCGGCCCAGAACTCTAAAAAAATGGAAATGGCGTAAGGCCTTTACTGTCAACTTTACTGTCAAGACGAAGAAAAGTTGAGAAACCCTAGGGATCTTGAGGTACCATTCTTGGATAATCTGATATACAATGAAACCTCTATTTTTGGGAGCTCATAAAAGACTTTGACAATCCGAATCACATGTGGCATGCTTGAAACACCACTTTCAATAATGTGGTAGATAGGCACGCCGCGATACGCACAAGGCGAGCCAGGTCCTCTAAATCACCCTGGTTTACGCCTGTCCTATAACATAACATAACATAACATAATATACACTTTATTACGACTCCTCTATAAGGGGCTATTTTGTCGTAATTTACAATAATGAAAAATATACAATAATAAAATTACTTTGGAGCAAAAATATTTACATGTGTTACGAATAGAAATGTTTACAAGAGTTATG